GATGATAGATGATAGATGATAGATAGATAGATGATAGATGGATAGATAGAGTGCTGGATAGTTTTAGTGTCAACTTGACACACCTGGGTTGAGGGAGCCTCAATTGAGGAATTTCCTCTATTGGACTGGCCATGTCTGAAGTTTGAGGGCATCTTCTTGATGCATCTTCTTGATGAGTGATGTGGGAGGGCCCAGCCCACTGTGGGTGGTGCCACCCCTGGGCAGGTGGGCCTATGTTGCATAAGAAAGCAGGCTGAGCAGGGGCCAGGGGAGCAAGCCAGTAAGCAGTGTTCCTCCATGGCCTGTGCCCCAGCTCCTGCTTCCAGGTTCCTGCCCTGAGTTCCTGCCTTGGGCTCCCTGATGAACTGCAATCTGGGAGTTATAAGCTGAATAAACCCTTTCCTCCCCAAGTTGGTAGTGGTTAGAGTATTTTGCCACAGCAATGAAAGAACAAACTAGAACAGAAATATAGATAGATGATAGATGATGATGATAGATTGATAGATGATAGACAGATGATAGATAGATAGATAGATAGATAGATAGATGATAGATAGAAAATCACTCCCCCTTCTACTACTGTTTTAACACTGCTGTTTTAAAAAGTTATTTATGGCCTGGAAACATGGCTCAATGGTTAAGAGCATTCTTCTTTTTTTTTTTTTTTTTTTTTTTTTTTCAGAAGTTAAGGCTGTTTTTGCAGAAGATCTGGGTTTCTGGGTTCAAATCCCAGCACTCATATGGTAGCTAACAACCATCCATAACTCCAGTTTTAGGGGATCTGACACCCTCTTCTGTCCTTAGTGGGCACTACATGACATGGGTGCACTTACATATATGCATAACACACATAAAAATAATTTTTTAAAAAAGTTTTTTATTCTTTTGTAGTCAATGGAGATAACCAGCCATCCCAGTTTGCCTGGGAATGAGAGGATTTCAGGACACAGGATTTTGAATTTTATAAAAAGAAGTCACCTGTCATATCAATGGTCACATTCAACTCAAATGGTTGAGTCTGGTTGGTGGTCCTAAGCATCTGAGCTTGACCAATGGCCTGCTTGGCAGCTACAAATGCTCATTCAACTGTCTCAGTCTAATCCCATGTTATTCCTTTTCTACATAAGATACACAAGGGACCTACCATCTGGGCCAGCTGAGGGATGAATACTCTCTAGTACCCTGAAGCCTCACAAAGGCTTGCACTTACTTGACTATCATTGTCTAAACTGTTCAGTTGTAGCCTCTGGAATGGCTTCGGTCTTACCCAACCAGACAACTCCCAAGAATATGACAAATAAACCAGGCCCTTGCACTTTGAACTCAATCTACCACACATCCCCATGATTCTAGGGAAGCTCTCAGACTCCATAGGCCCTCTGGCCCTGTAGGCTTGCAGACCACAGCCACAAATTTGCAAAGGAATCAGAGGTTAGTATATCATCATCAATGTCCTGTTACAAAATGACCATCTTGAGTCATTGCCAGGACACTAAGTCTTCAGTCACCAAACCATGGTAAATGATAGAGCTACACACATGTCCCTGGGGCAACGTGACATAACAAATATCCACCATAGACTTCCCAGGTGATGGCAAATTGTTCTTGGTCCATTTCATAGTGGTGCCAACCCAAAGTCAGAATCAGTCCATCAGGTCCATGATAGATGGCACAGCTGCATACCGACTCTTGACTATCCACAGTCATTCTCCAGGTTTTACCTGGTTTCCACACCGGCCAGAGCAAGCTGGCTAAGTAGATTTGCCAAAACATTAAGCTCCAGGTTCAACTGAGAGACCATGCCTCAACGAACAAGGTAGAAAGCCATCCAAGAAGATTCCCAACATCAACATCAGGCCCTCACAAGCAAACATACACATGCATGCACACCCACTCACACGGCAGGAACATCCATAACACACACACACACACACACACACACACATACACTTTTCTAATTTAAAAAGAGATAGAAAACAAATACCAAATCCTCCTCTCACGTCTTGAAGATGCTCCAGGACAGTTTCCCTCCCTGGCCACAAAGCGGGCACTGTGACACCACACTGCTTTGCCCTGTTGCCCATGCTGAGGCCAATTCCTCTATCATCCAGCTGTTACTATGCATCTTTCCTGATTTCTTAGCATAACTTAACAGAACTGGTCAGTTTCTGCTCTAGAAATACTACTTTCTTCATTTGGCTTCCATCGCTGAGCTCCTCTGGTCATATCATATCATCCAGCGCACGGCTGGTCCTCAGTCACTCTTCTAGTTCACTTCTCTGTTGCTGCGATAAAACTC